CACGCGGACGGAGTCGCGGGCGAAAGCTAGTTACCTATATTTTTAATTTCGTAGCACCTTAGTGAAGCGTAATAAAATGTTCAAGTTGAATCATATGGAATTTTAAAGACGTTTACAAAAGTTTTTCCATTTATTATTACAGCGAGCAGTGCGAAGCTACGACGGGACGGGGTTCTAAACTTGTATCCCTTCCCAAGGGTCGGAAGAGCCCACCACACCTGGCAGGTGCCTGTTAACGACCAGTATTTAGGTATGTTTGTATTATTTATATAAAAATACTATCTATACTAATATTATAAATTCATATTTAGATGAATGGATGTTTGTTAGAGTTTGTAGCCTAAACGAATGAACCGATCCCGATGAAATTTGGCATAGATGTAGAGTATGGTCTGGAAGAACACATAGGCTACGTAGTTTTTTTTAAATCCCTGCGGACGGAGTCGCGGGCAAAAGCTAGTTTAAAATACGAAAAGGAGGATTTTTGCCTAATTTACAATATTTGCGTATTATAAAATTATAAATTAAAACCTTTTCTGCCAATTCATAATACGAAAGGAAAATGGATGGATGTTTGTTAAAACGTATTTTCACAAAAATTAAACTGCAATTTAGTCTGGAAGAAAAAAAATGGCCCACTCATTAGTTTTTTTCAAAGTCATACTTTACTTAAAACTTGATTCACGTGAAAAGAAAAGATGGTATAAAAACGATGTTTTACTTGAGTTTGATTTCCGTAAATTTCCGGATCTGAAGATTTGAACATATTTATTAATAATTTCCTTATAATAAACTCTCCTACAATGTGGGAATTTTTCATCAAATTGATCGTTACGAGGAAATTATTTAATTTATAGAGTAAACGTACGCATTGATTAACAAACATTTTTTTAATTAATCCTCTAAGATCTTTATTAGGGAAATAACTTGAAAACTATATGTAAATAAATGTTTTTCTTTAATAGACTTACTTCACAATTGATTGTGAATATAATTTGTTCTCTGAGGCTAGGCCAACAAAAGTCATCATTATTTATTGCAGTTTTTTTTCTTTTATTTAGATTCCGAGCCGGCTTCAAAGCGTCAACTGTACGCGTTCCCTCGCGTCGGCCGAGGCGGCTACGGTTATACTGACCAGTCTAACTTGAACCGCATCAATCTACGCTTAGAAGAGCTACTGCTGGGTCAGCAGCTACTGGGTCAGCCGCGGAGTAACGACTACGTAAAGAGGGAAAGCGAGAACACCAATACTGGAATGTGGTTCGGACCCCGTGTCGGCAGATCGTTCAATAATGATGGTAAATATGAAAGCCAATTTGAATCTCATTTTTCCACTGTTTTAAAACTTCCATCTCTTTTATTCTCTTTGAAAAAGAAACAAGAATATGCTTTTAGTGTTACGGACAGTGGAAGTGCACCTTAAGCTTTATATTTTTATCGTTAGTAGAATTTTGATAATTCATTGATTTCTAAATTAAACGATTCCAGCTAAGCTTGAAAAAGCTTGTGCTAGGATATGGTTCACGATAATTGGTTGTCGGGATTCGAACACTCGACCACAAAATCGCTAGTCAATACCCCAAACCAATAGGCTATTGAGGCTTAACTCAAAAAATTGAATCATGCAATTCTATTTTGTAACCGGAACTTGGTTAATGTTATAATTATTTTTGCTGCTGACTGTACTACAGAATTAGTGTTCAAGGTATTTATCTTTTACCTTTTTCAGATGTTATTAACCGCGAAGAGGAAAAAGATAACGATTCCGATGAGTCAGCTGAGCGCATCGAAAGAAAAAAAAGACAAACGAAACGAGCGTAATTCCAATACCCTGATGTCGCTGCAATACTTATACTCCACGAAATATTAATTTTAAATGCTTCTAAATACCATAAAATTGCCAGTTATAAACTCAAAAGCAATTTCATTTACTATTTTAGAAAATGTAAACACGTAATTGATTAATTTAACTTGCAACATTCTCAAAAAATTATAAACATTCTTAAGTAATTAAAAAAACATTTTTTATATAACTTCCCACAAAACAACAATTTCAAAAATATGTATTTACTGTCAATTCTTATGTGAAAGTTATTTAAGATTTGTATTAAAAAATTAATGGAACTTTTCCGTCATAATTATAAAATGAAATAATACAATAGATTAATTTTTGTCCAAGTTATTTCGAAGGCTGTGTGGATTTGTATATCCATGAAATAACTTTGTCAAAACAAAACTATATAAGCTGTAACATAACGGCTATATTATCTGTGGTGTTTAAAATAAAAACGTTATGCAAATTTGACTTTATACGTTGCTTTTTATTTAGACCTCAAATACATCTTATATATACTATTATAATAAAGCGTAAACATACACTTCTTTGTTGCCTAAGATGTCAGCAATCACAGAATGTTTTTGAATAATACCTTTTTTAATAAAAAAAACCCTACACTTACGTCACGCTTTAGGCTATATATTTTCAGGAAATTAAAATTAGGGGTTAAATATTTTGGATCAAAGACGTAATGTGGGAAAGAGACCAAAAGTTGCTGCCAACATCAAGGAAGCAATTGTCATTTGTGCATTTGAATTTTGACATTTCATGCGGATGAAGCCGCACTGGAACAGCTAGTTATATTATAAATGCGAAAGTTTACTTGTATATTGGTTAGAGTTTACCGCCTAAACTGCTGCACTAATGATGACATTTGGCATAGATGTAGAGGATAATCTGGAAGAACACATAGGCATACTTTTGTCTTTTTATTTCCATACGCATATAATCTCGAGCGAAATTACTTTTTTCTATAAAACCACTACTATTCTCGGGGTATTTAATTATCATATAAATAAGGACATTAACAGAAGCCATCTCAAAAACAAGCATAGATTAACTTCATTACTTATCTCAAATGTAAACTTAACGAATAACAAAACATTCTACAAAATATTAACTTGAACTTGGTGTACTATTAATAGATCATAATATAAGTATTACATTTTATTATTAATTAAATACACGTGCAATGATTGGTACTTCATTACATAATACACAGGTTAGTAAAGCACGGGAACGTGAATGAATACCACTATGAGAGATTTCCTGTAGCTGACCACAATTTACCGAACGCGATAGATTAAAACTACATCTATTGTTTATTGTTTAATCATTGATGTCTTTCAAACCTTTTCATCATTAAGGATAAAAACTGTTAGAAATAGAAATTTCTAGAGAAAAATTCCTTATCCACTGCACTTAGTCATTTCTGTCACTTAAATATATTTTTTTTGTCACTCTTTTTATTATTTTTTTTGACACTGTCTCGTTCTCCTTAACATGTTTAGGTCAGGGACTTTAGGGTGCAATCTGTATTTCGTTTAACAAATGTAAAATTAAAACGTTAAAATTATAATAAAAACTTACAGTTAATATCATTAAGTATTGCTGTAATTTATCTGTACTAATATTATAAAGAGGAAAGATTTGTATTTTTGTATGTATTGAAATAGCTCATAAACTGGATCGATTAGAAAAATTATTTCATCATTAAGCGGACGAAGTCACGAGCAACAGTTAGTATTTTATATGAAATACATGTATTTAAAAAAAAACATACATAAATGAGAAATGTGTAAATTATTTTCGCACTGGTTAAAGTAATTTAATAATTACTTCTTCTTACCTTTACGTGGATTATAAGTGTGTGTGTGTTTTGTAACCGCAGTTTTGTAATTATTAACGTAAACAACCTCCGTAAGGTCAACTGTTTATTGTTACAAGGCATTTATTATTATACTAAAGTGAAAATTTAATGCATAAAATAAAGATAAAAAATATAAAAAGTACAGTCTGACATATTTATTAAACTTCAAATGTAACTAAGACATAATGTAGCTTATTTATATACATTGAAAAAGTTTAATTCTAGAAAAAGACTGATTAAAAAACAATTATCAAGTTCTTTTTAATATCCAATTTAATTTAACTTATGACATATTTTATTTTGAAACGAAAAATATTAAAGAATTTAACAGGAATAATACAAGATTTACAATTCATATTACTGCGACCAAAGATAAAAAAATAAATATCAGAGTTTCGGTAATGTTAAAAAGATTTTAAATAAGATAAAAATAATAGCCGCTTTAATTGTGGCCATACACGGTTTTGATTAAATAAGCAGTGGGTAAATATTAAACCGTGTACGGGGGACTGAGCGACCCTCTGCACGATCCTCGTGTTGTTTTTGTCTTGTCCGGATTAAATATATTCCATTTGCGACAATACGAGTTCAACAATTTTCAATTCATTCTATGAATATTTGAAGCATATTTAATATTTGTCTAAAATGAATCGTGTTTTCTAGGATGGGTTTCATTCTTTTAGTATTTTAAAGCATTGAGTTAAAAATAAGCTTACGTTTTTTTTTTTTTATGAAACCATTACTATAGTTAAATAAGTAGCTGTTGATTAGGTTATGTTAGGGATTTGTTATTCAATATCGATACTAATGTTTTAAGGAACAAATATTTGTATTTTTGTATATATTGAAATAACTCTAAAACTACTGGGCCGATTTCAAAAATTCTTACGCCATTAAAAAGCTACGTTATCAGTGTGTAACTTAGGCTATATTTCGCGGACAAAGTCACGAGCAATAGGTATATATCAATACTTAATTGTCAAGTTTTTGATCAGGTTTAAAGGTATACAAATCTATAGTAAATTCGGCACAGAGATTCTTAAATGACAGCATTCATGATAGATTTAGTCATGTTCAAAATCGTATAAAGCAAGTTAATATAACTACAATGAAACTAATAATTATAAATGAATTCAACGCCAAAAATACAATACACCAGCAAAGAAACAAAACAAAATCGCCATTGTGGAGGGGTCAAGTCTGTCAGAAGAGTTACAATAATCATCGAAGCATTGACAAGAAATGCCGAGGTGGTCGGTATTATCATCTCTATAACAGGGCTGGGCATGCCGCATCCAACCGCATCCTCTCGTCACACGAACATCAGACTCTCGATGGGAATGGAAAACTGAAAAAATACAAGTAATTTGTACTAAAATAATTACTTAGTAAAGAGAAGTAGATGAATATAACTGTACCTTCTGAGAATTAGACTATATAGGTTATAGGAGTTCACAAAGAATCAAATGTATTACAAGATTCAAATTTTAAGACGGCTCGCGATTAGATATGAGCAAGTCTTCAAATGTTCGTGTAATTAATGGATCTAGGGAAGCTATATCCATCGCAGCGATAATTAGAGTTGTGTGTACAGTCTTAAATAATACTTTGAGCTGCTATAAATAGGAAAATTATATTTTTGTATGCATTGAAATAACCTAAAATCTACTAAGCCGATTTTAAAAATACTAGCACCATTAAAAAGCTACTTTATCGGCGAGTAACATAGGATATATTTACTAAGTCGCTAGCAACACTCAGCTAGTAACGGCATTCATTTGTCAATTTATAAAATAAACCATGTGTTTAAAATTGTACTGGTTCGCGGATTTTAATCCATACTAATACTATAAAGAGGAATGATTTGTTTTTTTTTATATGTATTGATATAACTAAAACTACTGGGCCTTTTTTTAAAATTCCTTGACCAATCAAAAGCTACGTTTACAGTGAGTAATATAGACACTTGATTACTTTTTTTATTGCATGCGGACGAAGTCGCGAGCAACAGCTCATTGTTAATAGAGAAATAAACTTACTAGTCTGAGAGATCTTTCTGCAGAAGAAACTGTATCCTCCAGGATTTGGGATAGCGGATTCGCATTCGACGATAGGTACAATACGCGACCTTATGTCCTCGCTGTAAGAGTTCACATCCAAACAGGCAGTGTTATTTTCACTATTGCAATAGTAACAACGGATACACCAAGCTGAAATAAATTTTATAAAATGCAATTAATTATGACAATAATAACCTCAAAAATATATTAATTAAACTCAATCACGTAAAAAGATGTATTTTGCCGTAATATTAATTCATTGAGACAGTTTAGTGTTGACATAAATAAAAATAAAATAAAGTAAAACTTACCTTCACAGATGAAACCCGAAATAATAATCAAAGAAACGAGTTTATTTAATGACGTCATTTCTGAATTTTAAACACAATTCCTGCAAAATAAATGCTTTATACCTTAAGTGATATGTTTGTTTTCAACATAATATATTAATAATGTTTATAAAAGGAGTATGTTGCGGTAAAGAGTGGTAACTGAACTGAGTTAACTGGAGTAATGCGATAACACTGACGGTATAAGATGAGTAGCTTCATTATACTACGACCAAACAGTCTTAATACTTATTATTTTTAAATTTATTTTAGAACCTTTGAACTGAAATGCTACTAGTCAATATTCTGTAGAGGGTAACCTAATTTTTTTATTAACTCGACTTCATGTCGTAAAAAGATAAAAAGTAATCCCCAACATGAACCAAAATAACAAAAAGAGAATGACAAAAATTACAAAATTTCACAAGGTTTTAGTTTTTTACCTTTTAATTATTTATTCGCTTTCGCCTCCTACTCCGTCTGCATGGAATTTAAAAAAAAACAAAAGAGAGTAGCCTATGCGTTCTTCCAGACTCTACGTTTATGCCAAGTTTCATCTAGATCCGTTTAGCCGTTCATGCTACAAACTCTAACAAACATCCATCTATCCATCCAAACTTTCGCATTCATAATATTAGTATGAAGTATGATTATTTTAAGAATATGTTTTTGTTGGCTATCTTATGAAGTATCTAAATTACGTGTTATAACGAAACACAAATATGCTTATCAAAAAACATTGACCCTTGTGAGCCCGCCTTTGATTCCCTAATTGTTACTATTGAAGACTAAAATTGAGGAAAGATAATAATTGATTGTGTTATGTTATTTTCGTTTAACACATCGTTACGCCAGAATTTCATAATACGCATATTACATAACTAGCTGTTCCAGTGCCACTTCATCCGCATAGAATTATGAAAATTTTATTTTATTGTTTACATGTGTCAAATTATCAATTGCAAATGTCAAAATGACATGACATATGACAATCCTTGGCAACCGTGGTTCCTTAATGTTGGCAGTTGTCTCTTTCCCACATTAGGGTTTTTATCCAAAATATTTAACCCCTAAGTTTAATAGCGTGAAAATATATAGCCTAAAGCGTGACGTAAGTGTAGGGCTTTTTATTAAAAAGTATATTATTGAAAAATATGGTGTAATTGCTGACATCTTAAGCAACAAAGAAGTGTGTGTTTACGCTTTATTGTAATAGTATAGAAATATAGATTATATCATACTAGCTGTTGCTCGCGACTTCGTCCGCGTGAATTTAAAAGGTAATAAAAAAGCCTATGTTACTCATAAATAACGTAGCTTTTTAACGGTAAAATAATTTTTGAAATCGGCCTAGTAGTTTTTGAGTTATTTCAATACGTACAAAAATACAAATCTTTCCTCTTTATATTGTTAGTTTAAACTAGTAAATATAATTAATTGTAAAATTTTAGATGCTTAGATGTTTATTCCGATGTTTATTCCAACGTATCGAAGTATAATTAAGTTATTTAAATTCTGCGTGGTCGTTCAATCATATCATTTTTTTATTGTAAACGATCCCTACAATTAAATGAACTTGTTTTTAATTTTAAAAGAAATTGGACAAAAATTAGTGTTCGTTATCGCTTTAGTTTATTTTTATGACGATAAATGGATAGGAGTAATATGCAGTTTACAATGTAATTGAATCCAATACAAACACTAAAACTTTATTATATACTACATTTATGAAACTTCCTTATTGAAAACTGTTAAAATAGATCCCAAACCCGCGGCTTACAATCTGATGATTTTTCCCTCTGAACTTTTACCGTTGCCTTATTTAATTACGTATTTAAAAAACAATGATGCATGTAAGCAGGTAATAAAATGTGTTCGTAGAATCCTTTAAACCTGTTATTTGCTCCTTTACATTTGTACGGTTTCAGGATATACCACGCTTTATGAATTTGATACTTCATAAAGTTTATAAATTTCATTAAATAATTACGAAAATGTCTTTATATACAACAAATATGTACTAATGTTTTAAAGAGGAAATATTTTTTTATGTATTGAAATAACTCAAAAACTACTTGCCCGATTTCAAATTCTTTAACCATTAAAAAGCTACATTAATAATGAGTAACATAGACATTTCACGAGGATGAAGTCGCGAGCGATAGCTAGTCTATACTAATAATGTAAAGAGGAAATATTTGTATTGTTGTATGTATTGAAATAACTCAAAAACTACTGAGCCAAATTAAAAAATTCTTTTACCATTAGAAAGGTAATTTATCTGTGAGTGACTTAGGCTATATATTTTAATTCACGCGGGCGAAGTCGCGAGCAACAGGTAGTCTAGAATATTTTTTTATGATTCTCGTGGTTCGTTCTTTTAAGTAAGTAGCAATAAAAATAATGCAAGATCGTATACTTTATAGTGAAAAAGTTTAATAGCAACTGTGGCCGGAGGCATCACCTTTCTTTTGATAGTTTTTTGATTGACTTTGCCCTCGTAGTTTGATATTTTTATGACCTCGAATATTTTGAATATTTCTTTAAATCACATACTTACGTGTGTTGAAAATATAAAACATAGCTGTAACTCGCGACTTCGTCCACGTGGAATAAAAAACTCATTGATAATGTAGCTTTTTAATAGTAAAAGTATTTTTAAAATCCACCCAGTAGTTTTTGAGTTATTACGATACATACAAAAATACAAATCTGTCCTCTTTATAGTATAGAAGATATATATTAGTATAGAAGTGTAGATTAGGTTACGTAGCTGAAATACCTGCACTATATATCTGGACTAATATTATAAAATAAGACTGTGTGTTTTTGAATTTTATTTGATATTTGATTTGTAGTTTCGTATTTAAGGAATAAACTCAATAACTGGGTTAATTTCAACAATTAAGCCATTTTTAATTCCGCGTGATCTTGTCTACCTGTATTTTATGCCAGTATTTTATGAACAAAATGTATTTATTAGCTAACCATTTTTAATTAATTAATGAAAACATTTTAATAATGGATACTTTAAATGGAACTTCAACACGAATTAACTTTGACGTGATAATCGTTAAATAACAGTAATACGTTTAAGTGCATTCGATGGGTAACTCTATGTCGTTAACTTAACTCTTTGTTGTGCTAGTAAAGTAGCGCGGCGATGCTCGCGTGAAAAATGTTAACCAACATTATAAACATACAACTAGCAAAAGATTTAAACTAAAAAGCAATGTTAACAAAGTCCACAGAGTTTGTTAAAACAACTGCTTGCAAACAAAAGCTTTTTAATACAAAATCAAAGGAGAGAAGAGAGAAATTAATAGGCAACATGAAAATGGATTAACTACAAAATTAAAGTCTTCATCCACACCACTACATAGGTGCTGGAGAATACAGACAGAAATACAAACAAACTAATATTATGAATAAAATTGATTGCATCAAACAATTATCGGAATTGTGTGCACTCAACATCGAGTTAAAATAAACATTGTCACTTGAAAATCAGCTTTCAAACGTCTGTCGCTAAGTATCCCATACTTGTGTACTATAAAATAATCATAGAACAATGCAAATTGAACCGAAAATCAACACGCGTGATGTTTCGTCAACCAATAGTGATATCGAATCACTACCAAGTTTGGAATATATGGGAAATTATTACTTGAAAGATTACGAATATCTGAGTCCAAAAGTTTTGGAACGGGGCAAAGGTACGGGCAATATTGTCGCTTCATTGGAACGGAACAAGACGGGGAATTGCAAATTGTTCGCGCGCCTGTGGCTAAGGGAGGTGATGAAAGGGTTGAAACAATTCTTATACGAGGGATCCCTTCACGGAGTTAAGTAAGTCCGTTCCTAACTTACTGATATTGAAAATCAAATATGTATGAAACTAGATGAATTAAATTAATTTTCAACTGAAATTAGAAGTGTCCGGTTAAACGCCAAGATACTATTAATAAAAGTATAGTTGCTTTACCATTTATTTATAGTTCAATAACTTTATTAAAGTTAAGAACTTATCATGCATGACATCAGAATACATTGTGTATATTAAAGACTAACTGTTGCTCGCGACTTCGTCAGCGTGAAATTAAAAATACAGTATAAAAAAATATACCATATCTGTGAGTAACATCACAGATAAACTAGCTTTAAACGATGAAAGAATTTTTAAAACCGGCCAAGTAGTTTTTACCTCAATCGAATGAAAAAAAAAAACAAAAATACTAATCTTTCCTCTTTGTAACATTACTAGCTGTTGTTAGCGACTTCGTCCACGTGAAATTAAAAAAATATAGATAAAAACGAAAATGCTAATCTTTTTTCTTTATCATAGTATTATAAATTAAAATATAGAATTAAGAATGACTCTTTTTAAAAATGGCCAAATCACTTTTCTTACAATTTCTAGGTATGTCTTTGAGCCGACGTTCAGCTTTAAGGAACGTATGATCTGGGTGGTTATTATTGTTATCAGCATCGCTATCTGCGCCGTGAACATCTTTCAGTTGTTCTCCAAATGGCATTCGACTCCGTTCGTCAACGTTATCGACTCTCTTCCGACCCCAATCTGGGCTGTGCCGTTCCCGATGGTGGTTGTGTGTCCACAGTTACATTTACAACGATCTTACGTTAACGTCTCCAAGATGGATAAGTTAGTATTTCTTTAAACTGTATTACATACTTTCTTAGTACATACTACGCCGAATTACTTTCCTACACTTCTTCATAATAACTTTAGGAATACAATTAAAAACAATTGAAATTCAGATAAAAGATTGTTGCGATCTTTCTTTGTTTTTTTAGGTTAAGCTTGAATCATTTCTTCGCGTCTCTCGTGTGCCCACAAATGTTACATACAAAGCAGGCTCTACCGCATCGTATGACCCCGGAAGATAACGTATTGATGCAGAAATTTATTATAGAGGTAAGTACATAAATACTACGAGTGGTAACATGCCAATACTATGTTCAAGAGACTCATAGGCTCAGAATTGGCAAAACAAGAAAGAACTTGTTTCAGGGTTCACCAAAATGTACAGACGTTGTAAAATCTTGTTACTGGCGACCAACAAAGGAGTTAGAGTGGTTGGAAAAAGAATGCTGCGAAAAGATGTTCAAGCCAATATTCACGGATTATGGTCTCTGTTTTGCATTCAATAGTCTACCTTTGAATGCAATGTAAGTTCTGACACATAACTGCTGTAGCATTTAACCAGTACTGTAATTATAACACTGTTTTGTGTACTTCCATTATTTTACGTAATGCTAATATTCTTCTTTTAAAAATTCCACCATCAGTCACAGAACAACGATCATTAAGGACATTCACAAATTTTCAACTGATAAAAAAACATTGTCAAAATATAGAAATCGTAGAGTGAAGAAACGAGAATACTTATATATTTTAAATATCCAATTAAAATTTTAGGAACAACGACACCCTTTACTGGCATAAGACTTTTGATGAAAATGTAACACAAATACCTTTAAATTGGAGCTTAGACGGTGGATATCCTAAGGTATTCCCACCAGACCCCGCCATGATACCACTAAGGGTCATGTCGTCTGGAGAAATCCATGGTCTAGGTGTAGAATTGTACCTAAATAGTAGTGAACATCAATACGAATGCGATGGTAACAACGTAGGCTACAATGTAAGTATTTAAGCTTTAGAAGTTCGAATTTATCAGCCGTTTTCAATTTCACATTAGAATTTAAAGTTCGCAGTTGACGGCCATATATTTTTATAAATTACTAGCTTTCATAAAAGACTAGACTCTCTCCGCGACGAAATAAAAAAAAACAAAAGCAAGTACCCTATGTGTTCTTCCAGAATATTCTCTACATCCGTACCAAATTTCATAGAAATCCGTTCAGCCGTTTAGGCTACAAACTCTAACAAATATCCAACCATCCATCTAAAATTTCGCATTTATAATATTAGTACGATTAGTATGATTGAATGCCTTCCTACTGTATGGTCGTGGTATTGAGTACACTTTACTATTCTTAAACCACTTGTCTTGAGTGATTTTCGTTTTTAAATTGCAATCCAAGTTGAGTTATGCCAGTCTCCTACAGATTCTAATTATTTTATCATTACCTCGTGTTTCGTTATTGTTAACTTTTGTTGAATTTCTTATCATCAAGGGAACCGAATAGTATTGTTACCATTAGTTCTACGTAGTACTGATAATTCTGTAATTGTAACGCATTTATATTTTATTGATTTAGTATTCATTTTAGGTGCTTATAAGTTCTCCAACGGATCACGTTTACGTTAGTACAGTACTTCGGTTACCAATGAACAAAATGACGACAATCGAAGTAACACCGACTACTTACAAGACGGATAATGCTTTACGAGCTCTAGCTCCATTTATAAGGCAATGCTTCTTCCAGGATGAGAGGAAACTGAATTACTATGATTTCTATACAGATAGTAACTGTAAACATGATTTATGGATGCGTGAGGTCAAGAAGAAATGTAATTGTGGTTTATTTAATTGGCCAAGTGTGTATTAAATCTGCCTTTGTACATTCGTGGAATTTCGCGGTGTTCCACTTCAGGGTAAATTGCCTTAACAAAGTGCCTTAAGAGAAACAAACTCCGCCGTCATCTACAAATAACTAATTAGATAGCAGTGATTGCTGCAAACGACGGGATAGTAAATAGAGAGAAGCCGTGCATCAGTTACATTTTTCGTACATATATATATTTATAAACTTACCTTCTATTGATTTTTTCCGCGTCTCGTTTTACAATATTATCACGATTGCAGCTTTTAAAGTGGAACACCGCCAGTTTCTCCGACTGTACCTTGTACTCTTGTAGTATGAAGGCTGGCGATTAACTTTCTGTCTATTGTGTGCAGGATTTTATATTTGGGAAACGATTTGTACAACTAAATCAGATTTTCAATGCATCGAAGAAGTTAGAGGTAAAAATTAAAATGCAACTAAATAACTAGTTCGGATTTCCGATAATAAACAATTTAAAAAGTATTAAACTTATTACTTTTTATAACATCTTCGTGTTTACACATTGAGACACATTTACAATAGCTTATCTACTTATAACATGAATTTCCACTGCTTAAACATCAAAACAACCCTTTCATTCGCTTTAAAAAATCTCGAACAATCCTGGTGTTTTGACAGTGGAAACCACTGCTAAATTCATAAGCTGTATCATTATTAAAACTTTATATTCTAGCTAAAGTAGAAGAGCAATTAACTTACGCGTATTATGAAGATAGCCAAGAAGATAGGAAGACGCAGTCTGAGGTAGCTTCTTGCCATCCTGCTTGCAATGATATTTTGTACTCCAGTCAAGTCTTCTATTCAGATCTTATGAGCGTGCCGAGACTTTCGAAAGCAGACTTCAAATTTAAAGAGTAAATATCCTATTTACACCTGTATCTACACTAAGGGACTCTCGAACACTAAATCACTATTAATTATATACGTTAAAGTTTATAACAAAATTTTTAAACATGAGGCAATCATGTAAAAATAACCTACAAAATTTTCTTCAAATCATTACAAGTTATAGGTTAAAAATTATTAAGTTAGAAGCAATTATTTACGTTTATATTTTGTCCAATTTAAATTAATGTTATTTACGGATGTTTTCATCATTCTTTTGTTCCAGGGGTGAAGTAACGCGTATTAACGTTCACTTTTATGACGACATATTTTTAGGACAACACAGACACACGCAATATGATGATTATTATTTTGCAGGTTAGTTAAAATAACGGCACATCGTCATTAACTTATTAAGATTAATCAATATTTACGTCTTCCAACACAAGCAAGTATAAAAATCACAAAATTTATAACATTAATAAATTAACTACAATTAAACGCTACGCCAACGCCATCTTTCTTACTAATGTCAAAACGTAGCTAACACAAATTTTTATTAAAAGTGTAGAATTATTATTTTGACGTATTTCCGATTTACTATATTAGTAGTTTTTTGCCGTATAATTATCAGATTTTTTTATGATTTATTGATTTTTATACTGTATTTACAATTTCAACTGTTTACTTTAGACATTGTTTGTTTTACAAGCACTTTACAATTAGTGTTTCTTTTGACTTTGATAAATGTTGCAGGTGCAATCGGAGGTTTGCTGAGCCTTTTCCTCGGGTTTAGTATAATCAGTGTCGCTGAATTAGTCTACTTTGTATTACTGAAGCCAGTTCATATAGCGTTTTTTAGAACCTTTGATTAATTATTTTGGACATATAGCTTTTATTTTCATGATGAAATGTATACGAGAAATTTTATGTTATAACTAGCTGTTCACGCGAGGTTTCATACGCATGATATAAAAAGTTTATTTTGTTATTTACATTTATCAAATTCTCAATTGCAAATGTCAATATACCAAATACCTTACTATGGCAATCTTGCTTCCTTGATGTTGGCAGCAGCATATGGTCTCTTTCCCACATTAGGGTTTTTACGCAATTTATTTACACCCTAAGTTTAATAGCGTGAAATATGTAGCCTAAAGCGTGAAGTAAGTGTAGGGTTTTTTTATTATAAAAGAATTATTCACAAATGTGCTGTAATAATTGTTGACATTTTAAGCAACAAAGAAGCGTGTGTTTACGCTTTATTATATTAGTATAGAAGTATAGATAGTATAGATATATATTACATTGTAATTTTCTTTTTTTATTATACTGTTTGTGTAAAGGACTTATTTCTGACATTTACTTGTATGAATCAAATGCGATTTTGCGCCCTTCGCGATTTACTTACACTCAAATATTTATTCCCGTTCCTACATATATCCTGATGGCAAGGATTTGCGACTTATTAAGCTTTAACGTAAATAAATCATTGCTTAAATTTTCCGCTAGGCGCAGTTTCCCGGATAACAGTCTTTCACTGTTTTTATTATTATAAAATATAAACATGTAATAAACGGCGGACATTATTGTTTCCAGTTTTTAATCGATATTATTATTCGGTTCATTATAACCCTAGTGTTGTGGCACTATCCTATTACTAGAAAAATTAAAACCTTTTTACCCTCTTTTTAGTGTTCTTTAAAACAATTCCTCCTTATTTACAAAAGAGTTTTTTCTTTATTGTAAAAATTTTTGACATCAAATGTCAAATTTTACAATTAAAAAAATCATTTACATATTTATTTTATACCATTAAAGTTTTAAAGATCGTTAATTTATAGCTTAAAAATGTTTTTCCAAGATGCTCTGTATGGTTTTACGGAGACTTTGTGTAAAGTCAGGTATATAAGTGATAAGCTAAATGCGAAGGTTGTGGAACAAGTCAATGACACCCAGGAGTTGGTGATGTTGAACAACTTCATGCATGAATCCGATGAGTACTTGCTTAAGAAATGTTTGCAAGAAAGGTAGGTTATACTTCCAACATCTAAAGAAAAGCGTAATTTACTCTTTATGTTTTTGTACTTATGCATGGTTCACACTTGGTCAGTACTGACTCAATAACTGGAATGGCAATCAACTGGCACCGATGAGTCCATACAATTTATGACTGGCCAACGCAACTGTTCAACTATTGGCCAAATGTGAACCGCGCATTAAGGTATATGATTTGTGCTAGCTGTTGATATGATCAATAGATACACTAACACAAATTAAATCTATTAATATGTTTATATTAAAGCTAAACGAGTACTTCTTACTAATGTAATAAATGCAAAAGTGTAGATGAATATATGTTAGTATTGCCGCCAAACGGCTTAATATCTGGATGAAATTTGGCATTGATGCAGAGTTGAAAAGCATAGTTTGGTAGGACACATAAGCTATTATACTTACTTGTTATTTCTTAATTACACATGGACGGAGTCACAGGCAAAATCTAATCTGAAATATTGTAAATGCGAAAGTTTACATGGATGGATGTTTATTAGAGTTTGTAGCCTAAACGGCTGAACGAATCTCGATCAAATTTGGCATAGATGTAAAGCATAGTCTGGAAGGACACATAAGCTATTATACTTACTTGTTATTTCTTAATTACACATAGGCGGAGTCACAGGCAAAATCTAATCTGACTAATATTGTAAATGCGAAAGTTTAGATGGATGGATGTTTATTAGAGTTTGTAGCCTAAACGGTTGAACGGATCTCGATTAAATTTGGCATAGATGTAAAGCATAGTCTGGAAGGACACATAAGCTATTATATTTACTTGTTATTTCTTAATTACACATGGGCGGAGTCACAGGCAAAATCTAATCTGACTAATATTGTAAATGCGAAAGTTTACATAGATGGATGTTTATTAGAGTTTGTAGCCTAAACGGCTGAACGGATCTCGATCAAATTTGGCATAGATGTAAAGGATAGTCTGGAAGAACACATAGGCTACTCACTTTTGTTTTTTTATTCCACGCAGACGGAGTCGCGGGCAAAAGCTAATCAATAATAATTGTAACTAACTATAAACAATTGTTTTGTTCTAGAATGTCAGACGTTGCTTCATGGCGATGGGTGCTACAAGATCTTGAGAAACGAGTTGATGAAACTATAAGCGCCATTCAGCATGAAAGTGATGCACTTCATGTTGTCGTTGAAAGAATAAATGATGAAATACACGCGTCAACTAATTTTGCAAAACCCGGCGCTTTAAATCCAATGATTGATTTTGTTGAAGATGCTGTGATGCAGGTATTTCAGCTTAAAAGCTTGTAGTAATACGAACATGTTATGTTTTTCTAAAATAATAAGGGGGAATAAATCTCCTTGACGAATAACGGCTTAACTAATAATTAAGTAATTTTGGTCTGCGCGTGCTAGAATCGCTTTATTTATTAAGTACTAGCTTATATAACAATACTAGCTTTTGCTCTCAATTTCGTCCGCGTGGAATTAAAATAGTAGTAAAAATCATAGCCTTAGTTGCTCAGAGATAACGTTGTTTTTTAATGGTCAAATAATTTTTGAAATCGGCCCAGTAGTTTTTGAGTTACTACAATACATAAAAAATACCAAAATACAAATCACTCCTCTTTATAATATTAGTATATTTTTCCGCAAAATACCAAGGGTTTGGTATTCCTGTTCATTCATTAAAGATGTTTTAATTTCTCTTATTTCTTAAAGAGAGTAGACCTACATTTAAAATGCTAATGTAGTTTTTTTTCAGGAATTAGTGTTCCTACGTCAACAGAAGAAGAGATTCGTAACAGTAATACCACAAGTAGAAAAGCTTAAAGTAAAACTTGTAAAGATGAAGGATAGAATACAAAAGGAGGCTTTACAGAAATGTGAAGCGATATCTGTAGATGAAGCCTGTTGGAATACTTATAAGCCTGACTGTTACAGTAAAAAGAAGAAAAAGAAAAAGTAAGATTTAGTTTTAAAAAGCTTTTACTTGTGACTTTTTACGCGAGAAAAGTAGTAGGAACTCCTATGAACCAACCAAGTAACCTGATAAACAAGACGTTTAGATTAATTCTTACTAATATAAATATGAAAGTTTAGATGGATGGATGTTTGTTATAGTGTAGCCTAAACTGCTGAATGTATTTTAATGAAATTTGCCATACATGTACAGCGTAGTTTGATCACATAGGGATTACTTTTGATTTTTCTAATTTCACGCGGAGTCGTGGTTGAAAGCTAGTAAATGTTATTTTCATTAACAGATCTTTATCCTTAGTCCGATGGGAACGACGATGTGCAAAATTAAAGGATGCTGGTATTAACACATTGAGGCTAGCAGTTGTAACTCGTCAGAAGGTTTAGAAACAAATATAATTTAAAATTCGAGTAGCACTAGCAATTCTTCTAACCCTTAAATTCCATTAGTGGCAGAAATTGTATCAAATACTTATATATCGTTTGAACCTTACTAGTTTCTATTATCATAACTCGTAACCGAAATTGATGACTGTAATACCTTTCCATAATAATCTCAACTATTTAAATAGTGTAATAATTTATGTAAATAGATTAGAGCAGCAAGAGTGGATCTTTCGATCGCAGCTCAAGCGTACGGTGCGAGGGTCGATTCCGCAATAAGGAGACGATTGCACGCAAATATTATAAAGTTACAAGAACTTGAATGGCAACGACATGAGGTACAGTATGAAAGCTAAACAGGATACTTAAAGAGTAATTTTACATTTAAACTAGCTTTCGCCAGCGATGAATTAAAAAAAAAAAGTAAGTAGCCTAATGTATTCTTCCAGACTATCCTCTACATCTGTACCAAATTTCATCGAGATCCCTTCAGCAGTTTAAGCTACAAACTATAACAAACATCCATCTAAACTTCAAAACTTCGCATTTATAATATCAGTATGGTTTAAAAGAAAATCATGATTACAAACGGAGATGCTACAGATTTATGGTCTTATTTTAAACCTTAAAATGCATAAAATCCTGCAACTTAAAATATATAGAAACTTTAACAGGCTGTACGTGATTTAAAGTCATTGGACATCGAATTGGAGACAACAGAAAAGAGTGTGCTCGATACAATGGATCGACAGAAAGTAGTTGAAGGTAGACTGAACGAAAGAACGCTACGACCCGTTAAGGAACAGACCGTAGACCAAGTGACCTATCAACTACGGATGGAACATGGAAAGCTTAGAAGATTTACTAACGAATTAAGAAACAATATTGATAGAATTGTGTAAGTTATGTAATATCTTTAATTTAATAATTTGTCTTATAAAATTTATTTCATTAGAAGAGTGAAATGGAACGCATCAATGACCGTTACGTTTAAAATTTTGAGAGTACTTATAATGCAAATCTAAACGAACTAGACTTGGACCATACTTGAAGTGTTAATATTTAGAGAGGGCACACATCTTTGACTAAACTATCACACAACTATTGTGCGATTTTCGATTGCTTCGCAGTTCAACTGTTACCTCATATAAGCTCAAAGAAATCAAAGCGAGACTAAACAGTTGTGCAATGTTTTAGTTTCAGATGTGTGCGCGTTCTTAAAAAGTAAAGACGGCAGTGAAATCAATTGATAAAACTCTCTCTTTTTCAGTGGGTTATAAAATGCCGTTCTAATTAATATAAATTTGCAGGACATTACAAAATCGTCTCAAAGAAGCGATAACGCACATAGATTGTTACGCCGATGACATATTGCATGTGGTGAAACTAGACCGGCAAAGACTACAAGCTCGTACTGATGACGAGACAATCGCAGAGTCGAATGTTACCATAACACCTGAACCTGAGGAACAAGAAGACTCTCAGAGGCAAATGGACTTTGCATTAGAGCCCATTCAAGAAGAAGATGAAAATTACCCAATTTTAGATTTGTAGTATTTTTGTAACAGTCTTAAATATATTGGACATTGTTTATGAAGTATTTCACGATGTATGAACCTTATTTGGTTGGTTTTTAATATATTTTTTCTATTAAGTTTATACAAGCTTTAATGGTTTTTTACTATTTTTAATAAAGACTGTTTTGTTAATCAACTTAAATGACAAAATGAACAGATTTTTTTAGGAAAAAAAAATTGACGCGGTCCATTGTGGAAATAAAAGTAACTGTATTATTCTTAATATTTATTTAAGATCAGAGATTAAGGAATTTCATACTGGTTCTACATAAACTAAAGTATTTATTTTTAAGAATTATTTTTGGCAGAAATCAAGACATATTTTTAATACAAACAATATTTTAAATGAACCACAAACATTGATATTTAATAATAATATAACTAAATATAATATTCATAAATTAAGTAAAATATTCACTTCGGTACATATAACATACCCAACTTCTATCAATTTGAAGTTAACTCTGCAATAAGATATGTAAACGCAATCATTTTATTTCAGTAAATTTCTTATAGATTGTGAATATATTGAGATATGTACTACAATATCATAAAATATTACAATTTCATAGCAGAAGTAAGCTTTTATTTTGTAGACTTATATATTTCGATACTTATTTTCTTCTAGCTCTAACTTAACTGACAAATTTATTTATTATTCTTTTGAGTAGATGTCATACTATGCAATTATTTGACTTACTAAATGAATCGAGCATTCCCACTGCCAAAATTATTATAGTAAATTAAACATTTACACCATTTTACTATCAATAAACAATAATTGAAATCTGAAAAAAAAATGTTTATAACTTTTCTAGTGTTCTATTTTAACTATGACAAAATTAAAATAACAGTGTTGATGTTTTGGCAGTGAAAATATGTTGGTTATTCAACAATAGTAGATAATACTAGATAGATATTTCGTTTTGAACCATAGATATACAACCTACAGACAGAGTGTCCCTACAAGTTTTAATGTTTAATCAATAGATTTTATAGTTCAATGTTGTATTGTAAACAACATTTAGGCAATTTACGTCAACAAAATGCCTCGGTGGACTTTTCCCCCTTACTTTTCTGCTCCTGATTAGGTATCTATAGATAATATAGCTATGTTTCAAACACGATACAGCAGTTGAACTATTTATTATTTAAATGTACAGTTAATGTTTGTTTGGCTTGGCACTACTAGTCCAGCTAGAATAAGCAATTGAAAGGTAATAAACAGTTGAATATACAGTGAAGAATATAATGTACATACATATAGGTGATTTTTTTAAAAGTTCATAAATATTAGAACATAGTTCTTAAACAGCTAAAGGTTACATGTACTGGTTAGTTTCTACTGACATGTACAAAGGGGTGCCATCTCTATTGTTATATTTGGAGAAACAGAGATAGATATATGTTTTAAGGTTTATACACCCAAGTGAGTGGGACAAGGCTAGGAGATGAGATAGATATATGTTTCTGTATGTATCATCAATAGAAACCCATAGTTACAGGTACTATGGGATTTCTAGGTTAAATAGTTTGAGAATCTACACTTAGTTGTTTGAGTATTCATTCAAATTGTTGACAGGTTACAAAAGTTCAATCAAGCTTAATTGATTTATGTGTGCTTCACTGTGAATGTGTTCTTCAAGACTTTGGACATTGCAAATTACATCAACATTACATTTTTTACAGTAAGCAGACTTCTCAAATTCATTTGATAAGTATTTCTCTAATGTTATATCTTGGTCTTCAATTAGATCTTCGATTTCCATGAACCATTCCATATGTTGTGAGTCTTCATCAATGTGATCCAGTATAAATGATACTGTGTTGGTTAGATACCCATCGCATACTTTGCACCAAACTTCATCATCATTCTCACAGTTAAATATTCCATTTAGTGGTTTCAGTTTCTCAGCGATATTGCCACGGTGACTCAAAGTGTTAACATGCTCTTCAATATTTGGAAGTAGACAGGGAATTTCCGATTGGCAAACTTCGCAAAATGCGTTGTCAGATTTCGATGATAAATAATCATTCAGCCTGATAAATTCACCTTCCACAAGGTCCTGCATTGCCGCTCCCCAGTTCGCGTGGCTGTCTGTTTCGATGTGTTTAGTTACAGACTCAAGTTCGGGCAAATAAGAATCGCATGGTTTACAATACAAAATATCGGCATCGTTGTGAAAAGATATACCATTTTCAGACATCAAATCAATGTTCTCCTTGTGTTTTGACCCATTTACATGTTGATCGATACACTTGTTCGCCTTGGGTATGTAGACACCACAAAAAACGCATCGCACCCGTGTTTTCGAGTTGGCGATTATTCCAAAAAGCAAATTGGTTTTCATTTTGTTAATACAGCAAATTGTATAATTTAGCACAGCGACCGCAACAATATATTATTTATAAATACTTGAAATTTCGTATTATTATAAATTACATTTCGACTGCACTAAATTGGTGAATGAAGATTGAAAAAGATGCAAATGTCACTGTCACTTAGATGCAACAGATGACATTTTTGTTTTAAAATCAATTTTATAGCGAAAACTACAAAATCAATTTAAACCCTGAAATTGATTTTATCTTTGAAAATTCAATTTTATTGATAAATAAGTTCACACGATATAATTTAGATTTTTTGGTGGATTTAAATACAGGTTTGGATTGATATGAGATATTGACTGCTTTTGGATTTATAAAAATTGAGTTGACTATGTATAACACAATTTAAAATCACAAGTTGATCACAAGCAAATAAAAAAGTAACAGATCACAAACTTGTTTTTAAATATGGCAAAGTCCATATTTGTTTAATAAACTAACAACTGATTCTCTTTGACTGGGGAAGTCCCTGAATAAAATTACAATGTATTTTTCAACTTATTCAATATTTATTACTTCTACATACATTTATTAATAATAAAAAAGAAGATATTATAACTAATAAAAACTATAATAGTTAATCAAATTATTTGGTTAATTTTGATTTGATTTTTCCTCTTTGTTGTGCATCTTGCCTTTAATATGCCTTTCGAGATTGTCTACATTACAAGATACTTTGGTGTTACATTTATTGCAATAAGCTTTGTCTTCTACAGGATCTGTTAAAAATGTCTCAATGTCTATATTTTGTCCTTCAATCAATCTTCTTATTTTCTGAAGATATCTAGTATGTTCTTTATCATCAACATGTTTAAATATAACTTCAATATAGTTATCTAAGCAAACTCTACAGATCTTACACCATAAGACATCATTACTTCCACCAATTGAAAATATTCCATTGTAATATTGTAAAGCTATTGCACGAGCTCTTCTATGATGTATAGTCTTCATATGATCTTCAACCGATTTTAATGAATATTCAAATAATTTGTTACAAATCAGACAACCAATTGCACAATTATCAGATATAAACCTCGGCAGCTCAAGCCAATTTCCATCTTTTTCTATTAAAGTTTTTATTTTTTTCGCAACATTTTGGTGACTTAAACTATCTATGTGTGATAGTAAGTTCGTTTCAAAATTCATATTGCACATGAAACAATGTTTTTGAATGCCATTAAATGAAATACTATTTCGTATCATCAGCCTTTTTACATAAAGCTCGTTGTGAGCTTTTCCATTCAAATGTATATCGATAGAATAATTGTTATTAGTGATTGCAGCGTTGCACAGCCTACATTTAACCTTATTACTAACACCGTAAACTATGTCTTCGTAATAAGCCATATTTCTTTATAACCTTTACCGTGACTGATGTTTATCTTGTAGCATACTTGTTTTTGTTTTTGTAATAACACGTTTTATTTTATGGACTAAGGTAACAATGGAATTAGGTAACAATATATTTTTGTTTTTGTATTGTGCAAATATTAAAAAAAATACAAAAATTACAAGATGACAATGACATTTGACGAACACTCATGTTCAGAAATCATAATTGTGATAATTCAAAATTACAGGATTTAAAAGTGTGAGTAATTATTGTCTTTTTTATTGAAAATGCTAACCAACGTACGCTGAAATAAAACCATTATTCACTTTTCAAAAATGGATATGCTCATATCTTTTTATTCATCTGTTCTGTTCACTTTGAACAGTGCAAGATAATATTATCTTTAGTAGTTTAGTAGATCTGTGCTTTAGCCTGTAGCCGAATTTGTGTTTGTAAAATTAGTAATTTATGTGTTTGATTTTAATTGTATTGTAAACTGAAAATTCAATTGTGTAAGTTGTATAAGTTTGTTTAAATTCACAAAGACAATTAATTGTGGTAAAATATCAAAATGTCTGCAGACTCGGATGAAAAAGTTGCGATAGAAAATGCGACGAAGATTATTGATCGTCTGACGGTAAGATTTATTTGTAATTGGAAAATATTTGGTGAAATAAGTACAAAATCATTTTAAAAAGCTAAATCATTTGTAATGGTTTTTACACTTTTAATTTTACAGAAAGAAATCGAAGCCTTGTATAAATTTAGGGACCTATTTTTCGAAAATCACCCTCTTGAAATGGCAACTCAGAGAAACATAATAGTTGAAGATAGAAAGAAGTTGCTTGTGGAAAAATGTGAAACTATAGACGGTAAGTTATAAGGACAAATACACATTTTTCATTTATGTTGGTATAAAATAATATTAAAATATATTTTTTGTAGTTGACACTCAAATCCCCTTTTCTATGCGCGCTCAGTTCCTTTACTTAAAAGGAAGATGTTATAACATCGGTCCTGCGTATGAAGGAAAGGCATTACAATACCTAAGTAAGGCAGTAAAGTTGAACCCAAGTCTCACTGCTGCTTGGAATGAGTTGGGAGAGTGCTATTGGAAAAATATGAATATGAAAGATGCTAAAGCTAGCTTCGAAGGTGCATTGAAAAATGTAAGTTTTTGTTACATTGTAAATGTCCTGACTAGGTTTAATACTATTTTTTATCGGGTTAGGTATCTCAGTTCGCTGAGATCGCTCCCGGAGATCACCATCAATATAACGGGTTTGCTGGGGTTCTTCTGAGAGCTAGGTTGATCCACGTTCTGTTGCTCACGCAAAATACGCGCTAGCCCTGGCGTTCGGAAACTGTAGCCCCTACTACTACTACTATTTTTTATCTTATTAATATAATAAATGCGAAAGTTTGGATAGATGTATGGTTCTCTGTTAGAGTTTGTAGCCTAAACTGTTGAACATATCTCGACAAAATTAGCCATAGATGTAGAGGATAGTCTGGAAGAAAACTTAGGTTAGTCACTTTTGTTTTTTTTTAATTCCGCATGGATGGAGTCTCCGGAGAAAGCTGGTTATTTCTCATCTGAATATTGCTGAATTAATCTTTACCTTTTTAAAACAGTTATATGTACATTGAGCTGGAGAGTAAATGATTTTTTTCTATTCAGCAACGCAATCGTCTTTCTCTTCGTTGCCTCTCAGTAATTATTCGCCAACAAAACAATGACAGAATACATCATGAAAGAGTGGCTCTTCTATTGAATAGTGTTGAGATGGCCAAGGAGGCAGTAGCACTAGACATTAAAGATGGAATGTCATGGATGGTACTGGGCAATGCATACCTATGCCAATTCTTTACCGTAGCACAAGATCCCAATACATTAAAACTATGTATGAGTGCTTATAAGCAAGCTTGGTTGGATCCAGTGGCAAGAGGGCAGCCAGATTTGTATTTTAATAAAGGAGTTGTAAGTATTATCAGTATTGCAGAATTTAATGGAAATATAAAGTTTACACATTTCACTAGCAGATAATGTTTTACCGTCTATGGATTTTTAAATATATTATTTTGGAAATCGAACTAATATTATAAATGCGAATGTTAGAGTTTGTAGCCTAAACAGCTGAACAAATCTTGATGTTTACCATAGTTGTAGAGGATAGTCTGGAAGAATATATAGGCTATTTACTTTTGTTTTTTTTTATTCTATGCAGACGGAGTCGTGGGCGCAGGCCATTGATTACAAGTTTTTCAATTTTATCAAATTATTTTCAATAAGTTTGTAATTATAGCTTTATAAGATAAAAGTTTGGATACATTTTCTTTATAATTGTACATATCTATCCTCAAGTCTATACAAGCAGAAGTTGTGAGGTTCAGAGTTGATTTACATACATTTATATTTAATGAAAGTATCACAATTTTATCTGTTGTTCCAATGGAAAACATTATGATGCAAACTACACATATCTGTGATCAGCTTTTGCACACGACTTCGCACGTGTAAAATAAAAAAAATACAAAATGTAGTCTATGTACTATACTCACAGATAAATAACCTTTTTAACAGTGAGAGAATTTTTTAAATCGACCCAGTAGTTTTTGAGTTATTTCAATACATACAAAAATAGAAATCTTTTCTTTTTATAATATAAGTATAGATATATGTATGAAGTCAATTAGTGGACGACCATTGACTTTGGCCTAGTCAGTTTAGGCTCCGAGCATCTCAGTGGGGATGTATAGTACATTAGAATAGATTTTCAACGATTTCTGATTTACAATTAACATAATCATTTCAGGCTTTGAAATATGAGGAGATATACGATGAGGCTTTGCAGAATTTTGTTCACGCGACTCGGTTGGACCCTCTGTGGGTGCAGCCGCAGGCAGATTGTGAAAAACTGACCAATTATTTAAAGGATACAAATGAATTGGTGCACACTCGGGGTAAATTGAAGGCTAAACGATTAGCTCATTTAGTGCGGGTAATTACGTTTGTATTTAATATGAGTTTTATGAATGATAATCCAAAAATAAAAGATTAGAAATATATTTTTTTTAAATACTAACAGATCCCATTTTTAAAGCAGAATTTTGGATATTATTAAATATACATCAATATGTAAAAATACCTGTTTTCTTGTTGATATTTGGTTTGTAATTGTATTCTTTTATACTTTGGAATTTAAAATGGAAAAGTTTAGATGGATGGATGGATGGATGTTACTAAGTATATCCAAAACATAACAGATCTTAGTGAATTTGACTACTAAGTTTTTTCCTCATAGAAGAATTCGCAGGAAAACGGTAGTTTTTTATACTATGTCTGGTTTGTATTACCAGTTCATATCTTTCAGAGTATTGATAAGAAGATGCTGGGTGTGTACAGTGAAGGTACTTTCCATACGTTTGGGACACGTCGTGACGTCACACTGACGCTGTGCAGACTGGACGAGCTCATTGCAGGCGAGAATAGAGGAAAAGTTGTGCTCGCTAGAGTTGTCGGATCTATACATAATGAGAATTCTGTACCATTGTAAGTATGACTTTTACTGTTTTATTCAATCTAATGTTTAATTTCCTTAACTTATCATGTTACTAATATTACAAACTAGCTTTTGATCACGACTTCTCCCGCGTGTAATTAAGAAATAATTAAAAATATAGCCTATGTTACTTACAGATAAATTATCATTCTAATGGTGAAAGTGGCCCAATACTTTTTGAGTTATTTCAATTTATACAAAAATACAAATCTTTCCTCTTTATATTGGTATACATTAGTTAGTTTGGAAACTGACCGCCAACCTTTGCTAGTCGGAGAGGCACCTTAAGAAGTAATTTATTTTTTTTATTGTAAAAATGTATTATTTCCAGTACATTTGCGATTGTGGACGAGAGTTATATGTGCGTGTGTGTGACTGTTTACAACTGGGCTGATGGACGCGGAGCTATCATTGGGGACTGCGTCGCTATCCCTGAACCTTACCTCACTGTGCACAAACATGAGTCGGATTTAACGGTAAGTTGAAATACAGATCATTATCTTCCTTCTTCTACTCCCGTAGTGTCATCTGTCATCACACCTTTCTTGATCATGTCACCTTTACGCATGCCATCTCTTTCTATGTCTACCTCTACCGTTGTACCACAGTCATAACTAAATGTGTGTTGTTCATAAGTTGAAATACAGATATATTTATACTAATATAGTAAAGCTTAAACAAACTTTGTTATGTAGGATGCAATCAAGCATGTTTTTGTTTTTTTTTTTAATATCGGTACGTTTTTGTTAATTTGCTAATATTTCCTTTAACCATTTCAACTAAGGTCTAGACTTGTGCTAGGGTATGGTTCACAACAATCAAATGGCGGGATTCAAACCCTCGACCTCAAGATCGGTAGTCTCCCAAACCATTAGGCTATTGGCCTTTAAAATAAATTAATATTAAGATTATTAAAAGGCCATACACTAACGACGCGTTATAGTGTGTGCCTAAATGTGTGAATATATATCTGACTAATATTACAAATTTGGAAGTTTAGATGGATGCTTAATAGTTTGTAGACTAAATGGGTGTACAGGTTTCGAAGAAATTTGTCATGGACGTAGAGCATAGTCCGGTGATACATAGACTACACACTCTTTTAATTCCACGCGGACGGTGTCGCGGTCGAAAGCTAGTAGCTAAATATGTTTTCACACATTTAAAATAAATTGGAAAACATTATGCAAAAATGAGACAAAAACTACAAGCCAATAGCAAAGAAGCAAGATTGCCATAGTAACGGTTTTTGCCATTGCCATTATAAAAAATTTACTATACGCTGTTTATGTAATAAAAAAGTGTTTGTTTAATTTATGTTTATTTCCAGACCTATGACTTCAAATCACTACGGCTCAACAATCCGTTGCTGTTATTGGTTAACGGAAAGAGGGTAGACAAGAATCAGTTCGCCTCCACTTGTATAACCACCAAGATAGAAATCCAATGACACGGAAAACAGTTGAGGGATTTGAAATTGAAGTAAATTAGATATTAAAATATCTACTTCGAAGTAAAACCCTCAACTATGGACTAAAGTTGGTGAGTTATTGTTTAGATTTTCTTACGGTTAACTCACTCAACGATTTATTAAAGTGATTTCTCGGTGTAACAGTTAAAGTGTAGTGTCTATATTTTTATCTATACAAGCATTTATAGCTTGTATTCTAGTGATATGTGTTGCATAGCTGTTAATATTACTAAAATCATTTTTTTTGTCATTACTATATTTTGGTGATTTTTTTTTTATCTTTTGGTTTGATATTTTCTCTGTTATTTCAAACAGAATGTAAGGAATTATAGAAATCCACTGAAAAATAAATAATTAGGAACATAAATAAAGATGTTAATTGTATTATGAATTGGTGTGTTAATAAATTGTTTTTTTTTTATTTTTATATTTGTTACATTCCAAAAAGAAAACGACGCACATTAAGCACTTATTTTTTTGGAGTAATGTTTTAGTCATATTTTGATATTTTCAAATTAGCTGGTTTTTACAGTTTTTAAATATTAATAATTAGAAATAGCACTGTCATGGCATAATTTATTGTATTAAATAATTGTATTAAAGTGGCTATTGGATGCTATACTTATTGAATTAAGTAAAATTATTAATAATTAGCTTTTCTTGGAAACCAAATTTTAATAATCTCATGAACTATCTTAGTACATATAATTTTAGATTTAATAATATAATATATTCATTAAAATTTAATAATAATCGAAGTGTAAAGAAACGTATGTGGCAAAAATGGCGATAGGGTAGTTTTTAACTAAAAATTAATTAATCAACTTTAACTTGATTGAAGTTGGTCTTAAGTAGTAATAACAAAAAGCTTTGCTTATTAATATGATCTCTTTAAAATTATTAAATTCTAATTTTAAATACTGATGGCTCCTTTCTTGTTTCTTTAATCACTAGATAAATACTTAATTCTGTATAGATTTTAAATTAACGTTGGTAAAGAATGTTGTAAATTAGTAGTATTGGTAGTTTACTTTACTTAATTACATAATAATTAAAGTTTTGTTTTGCAAAAGTAGCGTTTTAAACATACGGTAGTTATAGGAGCCATGGATATATTCATAATATAATTTTAGTATTTCACGTTAGGACATAGACTTATTAATCTCATAGATATACTTGAAGTTGTTGGTAAAAAGTAGAAATTTTAGTCCTATTGAAATGCAATTTTTATTAAATACATGTAGTTGAATTATTAATAATATAATATATTGTAATCTGCACTATTATATTATTCTAAATTATACAGATTGCTAAAATTTAAAGTAAAAAGTATTTTCATTTCAAATTATGTAAAAGTGAGGAAATACAAATAATTTATTTGTTACTTTTTTATAAATGTCTACGACAAAGTACTGTTTTGTCAAATAGTCTTATGTTAATGCAACAATTAGTTCTTTATGTAGTACAATGTTGTAATTTGTATTAGTCTTTTTGTTATAGGATGTGACAAATGGGAAACTTGATAATTTATCATAACTATCACGTTTGTTTTCTTGTGTGGATTATTATTATTTATCAAAAAGACATGTATTCGTTATTAAACCATTTAATACTATAATATAATTAAATAATATCTTCTGCATATTTAATGTCATAATGATCATGTATATCTTGTAGTAATAAAAAATAAATAACAAATTATTCTTTCATTTTAATATAATAATAATGAAGGAGGTATATACTATTAATAATCTTGAGTCAAACCATTTTTGTAATCTTATACAATTTCACTTAAATTTGTTAGCTTATTTTTTGTATTAATAAAAACAAACTTTGATAATGTTTAATTTTACATCGATTAATATAATTTGATTATTAATAATAATAATATACAAGAGCAGTTTTTGCAGTAGCTCTTGTTTATTATTATTATAATGCAATATGTTTCCTTTCAGTGTAACATATGTTATTTTTTATTTATATGAATGTGGATTTAACATCCAAAGAATTTACCTTTGGACTAAGAATTATTAAAACAAAAACTTTTGATTTTAAACAATTTATTGTAAAATACTGTTAAACCACATTAATGGTTTTGTAATGGAATGATTCAAATTTTAATTAACTATATACAACTACATCTTCGTAGTTAAGATGTAAGGGAACTGTCTACATTTTCTGTTTATCTTTTAGACGTCCTCTAAGTATAGATTAACGTTCAATGCCACCGTTTGTTCTACGATTGGACATTAATATTTAAAAAATCGTGGCACTGAACGTTTTAATCTAAACGGCTTCACACAATGTTCTTATCAAATTGTATAAAAAAAAATTCTCTAAGATCACCATTACTTTCGATAGGTAATTTTTTTTAGAAACAATGTTATTTAATAAGAAAATACATTAACAGACAATAGTTTATTAGAAAGAAAAGGTCTGGTGATCTTAAATTATTCTTTTACCCGTATTTAATTAATTAATAATTAATCTTAAGCGTTAACTTCCCATAGTTTCATATCGTTTTCTATAATCTCAGCGAACATGTTGGCTTTACGCGGGTCTTTGAACAATGGTTTTAGAGTTTTAAGACCAAGACCAAGTAATGCCCCGTTGTCTAACAAATCGTTTAATTTAAACGCTAATATTGGATTGTAATGCAACCGAAGAAGACTTGGTCTCGAATATAAGTATTGGCTGTCCCTTAAGTTCGTCTTTGCCCATGTCTCCACTGTTTTGTTACCACTGGCTATCTGTAAATCATTAAATTTTAATCATTTCATTATTACATTTTAATAATCATTATTACATTATCATAATATTATTATAGTTGAAGTCCGAAATCCAGAGTTCGGATTTCGAATTGTATTTGTATTTTAGCATCTACTTACCCGTATTTCTCCGACTTGTTTGAGGAAATACGATGAGAAATAGAATCGCAGATTATCAGAACTTGAGTGACGCATGTTGCGTTGCCGAATATACGCTCGGAGAAGGTTGTAGCCTGTCCGCTTATATTTAAAAACCTGCAAATATACATGATATTATTTATATTTTTCTTAGAGACTTGAATGTAGAAGAGAAAATGATAGTCAAGGTTATTGATCCTTCACGTTCGTAGACGTAATAAGAACACGTTTTAAAATTACTGTGAATAAATGGTTTATAAAACAAAAGCAAAGTCAATACTTTAGGTACTTTAGGTACAATTACCTATTATAAAATACGTAATAATTCATTGTGCTTATTTTATAAGATTATCTATGTTTATTTATCTAACATTCTCGATGTTTTAAAAAAAAATTGCATGCTCTTATTTCTTGTCTCTCATTACATAATTGGAAGTTCAGCGTGTGAATGGTTTATTTAATAGTGTTTTAAATAATCTGTGTACAGTTGTTACGAAGTTTTTGTGTAACAAAGAGTAAAATAAAACTAACTTGATAAATAAAATTCCCAGTAACATAGGAATCGATGTAGTGTGTTCCATAGCTCTTCATAAATCTTCTAATTTCGCTAGTATCGCTCACATTTAGTTTGTCTATAGCCCTTTTAACATATTCTCTGACGGTGACATTTTCCAAACTATCCAATTGCACAGACTTATGGACTTTCATTAGTTTGACCAGCACATAGCAACAGTTGTCAGGTTTACTGTCGTATTCGATACCGAATGCCCGCATTATTTCGTCGAGTATCCAATCGCCTAAGAACGCTTTCCAAGGCTTGTCTGTTCTGGAAATAATTAATATAAAGTGTTAAAGAAAACACAGGAAAGTCAGCTTAGGGTTGTCTCTACAAGATAAATACTATTATTATGACGAATCTTGGTTAAAGCTAAAATAAGGATTTAGTAGTGAATTAATTGAATCAAAAGTGGCAAAATGGATTTCGCTCTTCGAATTTAAATAAAAAAGAACATGTAACAGGTATTTATGTAGTACTAATTGTTGGTTTTCACTGATGTACTACCCGTACAATAATATATTGACATCTCCATATTTTCAAGGCAAATGACTCATAAATGTTTGTAAGACACGGTTTCTTATCACGATTGGGTTTGAGCCGTGAAAGTTGTGTCTTACACACATCATATTTGGAAAAACCGCGGCAGTTTAAATTTAATTGAGTCATTTATTACAATATGTTGTATGTATTTCAGCTTTACTAGACCAAACACCATATTATTAAATTTTAATGCTTTCATTAAAATATAATAATATAGTCTAGTGAACTCACCCTTCTATTCTAAAGTTTTCGAAGTAAGTCGCTAAGAGGTCATCGAAAGTTTCACAAAGTAAGATGTTCATATCGATCATCGTTTCTCCCGAGACCTGTCGGCTGCTGGTGTTTAAGAATAAACGTATATTCTTCTCTCTGAATGGTTCCACGTGCTCGGGGCTTTCTTCCTCGTAATCAGCGGATACCACTTGTGTAACTTGCGAGAGATCTCCATAGCTATGTAAATATAATTCATCGTTCAATGTTCGAAATTCAAAAATCATATTAATTTTATAAATGCGAAAGTTTAGATGGATGTTTGTTATTGTTTGTAGCCTAAACCGCTAAGCGGATCTCGATAAAATTTGGCATAGTTTTAGAGGATAGACTAGAAGAACATTTAGGGTACTCACTTTTGACTTGTTTAATTCCACGCGGACGGAGTCGCGGGCGAAAACTAGTTTTTTTAATAATTCTTGATGCTCTATCCACTGACTCTATTTTATGCATGATTCTTTTATGCTTTAATTGGTGTTGAACTTATAGGGAAATTTCGCGGGAAACCCTTAAAGGGACGTAATAAATTGTTCTTGTTTAAAATACGGGATTGATTGAATCGCAATGAATGAATCCCAACGTTCAATGAGATAAAAGGCAAAAATACGATTAGGTCAAAGTTATAAAGTTTTGCATTGAAATATTTTATTTGTTAAGAAACTGGATATTTTTCAACAAAGATTGTTTCACGCTATCTCTAGGCAAACCACAATTCTTAAAGTCTGTTCAAGTTATTTTTTAAGCAAAACTGTTTTTAACTAGACTTTAAATATAATAGTTTTCTTATTTGAAATACTAAAATGAGTAAATATTATTTATGAAAAGTATGATAAACGTTTTGAGCAAGAAAACAGTTTGAACATTCTTTTACTTACTTGGCGAACACGTCGATAGCATTTCCAATATTCAAACCGTATCCTAAATCACTCTCTTCACTCTGACACAACCCACCGCACAGAAAGACCGCGAGATACAACCAAAAAGTCATTTTGAACTAATTATTCATGTTTTAATAAAGTATGCCGCGTGGAGGCGGCATATCAACTGAGTTTTTTTCACATTTTGCTAATGTTAACACGGAGTAAACACAAAATGAACTTGACCTGAGCGATTAGTCGTGTACGCTTCAAACTATTGGTGAACATCCCTAGACATTCGGTTTTGTTCACACTGAACTACTGGCTGTATTTGAAAGACCTTCGCCTTTTGATAGTAACGATTAAAAATAATTTATTTTTAAACATGGCCGCATTTACGCGCCAGTGACACTACAATAAAACAATATTAATAAAAACTGTTTAACGTTTGTTTTTATTTCACATTTGATTTAAAACCACCTTAACAAATAAAACTTATTTTTTAACGATATATTGTTATTACAATAATGTATTTGTAAATTATTTTTCCAAATGATATAAAACTAGATTGGGTCACAGATCTAGGTTTGATTTTACCCAATTAATTTGTCGTTTAGAACCTATTTATTTGATTGTGGACCCAATTAGATAAGGAATTTTATCTTTTATTAAAAAGTTATTTTTATAATCTTTTCTATGTTCTATGGATAAGTACCGTTGAAAAATATTAATGTTCTCATGTGTTAATTAAAAAAAAATATTTCGACAAAAGTAATGACACCAAACATTATCCGATTTTAGTAAATTATTGATTGGAATGGAATCTAAATGTTTTTCACAGTTTACGCATATAATTTTAAGATAAACTAGCTGTTTCTCGCGACTTCGGCCGCTTGAAATTATAAAAACTCAGTGATGGCGTAGCTTTTTAATGGTGCAGGATTTTTTAAAATCGGCCCAATAGTTTTTGAGTTATTTCAAAACATACCAAAAATTCAAATCTTTCCTCATTGTAATATTATAGTATTAGTATAGGTTAAAACCCATATTGCTACCAATATATTCACGCCACTACAGCCTCGTGTTGTAATTTCTATTGAGTCAGCATTTTAAATCTTCCGTATTAACGACTGCCCTAGTTTTAACAAATTATTCAAATATAACAAAGAGATAGTTTGTTAGTATTGCTCAATATTTAAATGTCATTTTACTAAACACCTTGAAAGTGTTCTATGATTTTTGATTATGTTATGTAATATTTTGATTATCGTTGCTTTTATTTTACGATACCAAAAATGATATCATTAAATTCTAAGAAAAAAAAAATTAAATACGGATAGTGGATAAAATTATTAAGCTTCGAGATTATCATCTTTTCGAAGGGATGATGTTAAAAATTTAAAATTAATTTGTAGAGTTTGTAGATGTAACCGTTAGTTTTAATGCCAAAACACTCCTTACGAATCTTACTAACATTATAAATCCGTAGGTTTAGGTGAGTGGATGTTTGTTGGAATTTATAGTCTAAACTGCTGAAGGAATCTCTATAAAATTTAGCATACGTGTAGAACATACTTTTAACGAACACATGCGGGCGAAAGCTAGAATACATATAAAAATCATGTTAAAACACTACAAGGAATGGTTTATCGAAAAATATACGTATATAGGTCAATGAGTCACCAAAATGATTTCGCGAAACTCCCGATGATTCACTATAACTAACGTCTTTTTTTAAAAATATTCTCAAAATTCAATTCCTGTCTATTCAGATTTCCTTTCGTCCCAATCCTTTCTTTAAAATAAGTACGTGGCTTTGGACGAGACCGGCCTTGTACATTTACATTAAAAAAATATTGTTTTTATTTTTTCGTCGAGATTAGATTCGGTTGGTAATAGGGTTTTGCCAACCTCGAGATATCTTTTACTACATTGAACATAGAATGGTGATCGAGTGCTTAAAAAGCAATCTATTGCGTTCATCGTAGTTCAATTTCAAGCTGTTCGATTATCCAAGTAATGTTGCAAGACTCTGATTGATATAAATACAATTGGGACGTTATAATATTGTTCGATATGTACTGGTTAACAAAAATCAAGGTCTAGAGACTATTGCGTTAAGTTGCCCCTTCATTTTGCGATAACCTTTTCAACTGAGCGCGTGAATTCCAATTATCTTATATAGCGTATAAAACATTTAAAGCGTATTCAAATAATCTAGTATAGATTAAACTAGCAATTCGGGTAACAATATTTATTCAGCAATCATACACACATGTAATAGTAGAATCGCGACTATGGGTATAAGTCATTTCAAATATCTTAGCTGCCTATCATTGCATTCTGTAGTGTACTCCCCTGACTTCCTTTACGCTTACACATAAAATAGTATTCTGCAAGCGATTAGTGCGATGTCCCGAGCCGCCAAGTTATTTGACAACTACTATATTTGTAGACATTTGATTGAAATAAGTATGATCACTACGAATATATCTGGATGTTACGTTTAACACAAAAATAACTTTTTATTTCCAAAGTGTTAGAAATACGTTTTAGAAAATAGCTCCATCTATCGGTGAAATTGAAAAATCGTTCACTTTAAGATCCGATTTTCATAGAACCCAAAGAATATTAAAATTCACAGCGTGATAAAATCGAGCGATGAATACATCCATCAAATATTTAGCAACAGGTATGTGAGACAATGTTACGACATGGAGGAAACCGTCAGATTTTTATGAAAGGTTGAATGACACGATATCAGACTAACACGCAAAAGTTTACTTTAATGATAAAACTTCTATGTGTCAGACAACGGCCTCGTTTGTTTTTTATCATAATTTCTGATTATTCTCAAGAATAAGTACAGATTTACACGGAAATCATATTAATGTTATAAATGCGTTTTTTAGATGGATGGATATGTTAGTTTGTAGCCTAAACTGCTGAACTATTCTTTTAAATTTGGTATAGATAAGATAGTCTGGAAGAACACCTAAGCTACTTATGTTTTTTTTTTAATTTCATGTGGATGGAGTCGCGGGCGTAAGCTAGTAAGTAAATAATACAAATCATCAATCACAAAACAAATTTATTTCTAAAACATTTTCCCTCGAAATATTTACACTGCGTACATTCATTTCATTAATCTGCTAAATAAATGCATTTATCAATTTTGATCACGCATTCTATGCGAATTTAATTTATATTTGCACATATTAAAAATATAAAAGAAGATAAAACATCAATTTATTGTCTTTAAAATCGATATTGAGAGACATTTTAATACACAATATAACCTGTACACGAAAACATGCACCTTACAATTAGACTTTCATCCTTGTTTGTTCGAGTTAACGATTTATGATTTCAGGCTTCTTAGATTTAATACTTTTTGGTGCACTGTACATCGCGTTGCTGACGTCATAGATCTCAGGCTTTATGTTATATCGTTCTAATGTTACATTATACACTTATTTGAATTAACAGTTTCATTGATACACAAATTAGCCGATAGTTTTAGTTAACTGATAATTAATAGGAAAATAAAAAATTGAATTAAAAGCTACAAGAGCTGGCGCACATTTTTGGCTAAATTACCAACGCGTGCGATTGTCAATTGTTTCGCAGCCACTGTTCGCACAAGCGAGTGTGTGCACTGCCATATGAGTTCATAGAAATCGAAGGCAGACTAAATAGTTGTACGATAGTTTAGTCAAAAGTGCATGCTATAACATAATATGCAGCGACAAACAGGTTTCCAATCGAAGAAAATATAAGGACAATGATTGGCACATACATCAATAAGTATACATTAATAATATCATTCCTTTATAAAAGTTATTTCTCGTAGTTATTCTAATAATGAGGAAGATAATATCGTCATTTTTAAAAGAACAGATTAGCAATATTAATCTAAGAACAAGATGCGAAATCTAATTTACATTTTATTGTTCGCAATATCTGATTGTTTTTTTATACTGGTGGCCAATAAGGCACCAAAATGTTATGTACAAAACTTTTATCTAATACTAGAGAATAAGTAGGTTTTTCACTGTTCATCTTAAACGTAGGACGATCACATTTTTGCACTACTATCATTATAAAAAAAACATTGTTTGTTTTCTATTACCCTTAAAACCTAAAAGATCTAATTCAAAAACATATTTGTAATTTTATACATATAAATTAAAAATTAAACCTATGCATTTTAAATAATTATACGAAACCACAGAAACATTCAAATTATAAACGCACACCTTTGACTAAACTATCGCACAGCTGTTGTGCGATTGTCGATTGTTTCGTCCATTCAACTGTTTAGTTGCACAACTAAAAATCGAATAGTGGTCGTGCCTCCATAAGCTCATAGTAATCAAAGCGCGACTAAACAATGTTAGTCGATAGTTTAGTCAGGTGTGCCCGCTCTAACATAGTACCTAGTTCACAAGCATTCATAATTATTAAACAAATACACTAATAAATAAATACAATCGATTATTCGGATAATAGAATAAAAACTTGAATCAAATCATCAAATATTTGACCAAACATTGAACAATGTAACAAATGGCCATATCAAAATCTGAATAATTTAGCAATCATAAAAACTGGCAATTTTATTATCAATTACATGTAAATATTTACTTTCACTTTAATATAAACACTCAAATTGTCATTTTACATAATAAAAATGTCCAAAATATTATATAATTTCCATATAAAAATACATTTCTTATAAAAGTTTATAATAGTAACATTTTTGGACTCGCAAAAAGGTTATTAAACTATAAATATGATCTTTTATCACATGTTACTTTCCCATAGTTTTAAATAATTGTCTATCACTTCTTCAAACCACTTTTTCTTTTTAACGTCTTTAAACGCAGGCGATAATGTCTTTAATTCTAATTGTAATAGAGCTTCATTTCCTAGGAGTGTGTCAAGATTTCTTAACAACGTTGGCTCCCCGTGTAGTTTTAATAAACTGGGGTAAGAGAAAATGTAATAGTGGACACGAAGACGCTTCATAGCCCAGCTCTCAACTGTTTTGTTACCACTGGCCACCTGATAGAAAAAAAAATAGTTTTAAAAAGCACAGACTATAGAAGTAATATAGACCCAAAGTTGTAAGAATAATTCTGCAATTTAATGGACGAATTAACTATTGTAAAATATATTTTTACATTTAGAAAAAGAATGTTTTTTAAAACTGCACAAAACGTGAGATTTAAAAATAAGTGGGCCTATAATACTGTAAATGGAAATAAAGTCAAATTTAATTTAAAAAAATGTAATGTGTTAATGCCATTTATGATAGGGGATAGAAAATAAGAAATGACAATGAATTAATGATTTAAAAATAATGATATCAAAACCATCTTGCAAAAACCATGCGTTAACACAAAATGGCAGGAACTGTCAATGTCACTTTGACATTTCACAATAGTGATGTACTTGTTACCTTGATTTGGCCGATATGTTTAGCATGCCATGGCGAGAAGTATCCCTCTAATTCCTTGGCGGTAATATCAGCAACTCCTTTGCTTTTTAATCTTTCTTTGATCATGGAGTATGCGGTTCTAGAGAATACAAATACCTGGAGGTGAGAGCAGACACAATTTTCACATTTTTTTAAATATTATGTTGGCCTGCGGAATGTACTCTCTGATTTTTACCGCGTGTTCAAAATTTGGATCGAAATAAATTTAAACAAAAGTTTTTTTTTATCTTGCATCCGAAATCTTAAAAATTAATCCTTTTAAGTAGTCAAGTTACATTTCTTTAATTAATCTCATGATACTTAATTATTTTACTTCAAATTAAATATTCATAGAATACTGGTATATAAAAAACTTGATAAATGACGTTAATCTTATTTAATTATGTTATAAATAGTTTTTTTTTTTTATCTGAGAATGATTTGATGACTCCAAAATCACATGCTCGAGATGAATTGATGGTAAGAAGTAGAATAGAAAGGATGCAATGCGACGATTTTGATGCAAAGTATGACATGCCTTCGAAAAGATGCGTTCTGAATGATTCCATATTATGTGGCCTGCTTCTAACGTGATAACTGCGTTAATGAACTTCATAGTATATTTTTTTTAAATATCGTAAGGTGGCAAACGAGCAGCGGCCACCTGAATCTGCCAAAATGGCGAGGTAACCGCTGCCCATAGACATTCGCGATAGGGGATGCGTTGCCTACCCTTATTCGACGGAGGAGGAAACGCACATAAATAGGATATTACCCCTTCCTATGCGTGTCCTCCACCGTCAAATCTATGTTTCCTTTTAAGAAAAAGGACTAAAGTTGGGCCTCCGCCACCAGTCATCAGTCGAAATGAACTTCTCCCTCTTCACGACTGTTTTCTGTGTGGTCGTGGCATTGCTGGGGGCGAGCCGACCCATTCGTACGAAGATGTTAAAGTGGGCTCTACCACTGTTAAATAAGTATTTAATATGCAAGTTGTAATATTAGAATTTAATTCAAATAAATAAACCTCGAACGACTCTGTACGTATACTTTTTTTTTTAATTTAGTTAACCAAATACTATTAATAACTGGCAGTTAATAAAAATGAACAGTCGAAGCAGGCCACGAGACAGTTCGATCCAAACCTTGACCGCGCCGACGTGCTCGGCAAAGAACGGCGAGAAGAAGTTGTTCATCTCACTGGATGGAATGTCTTTGACGCCTTGCGACTTCACGCGCTCCTTTATCCGCGAGTACACTCCGCGAGAGAACACAAACACCTGAACAAGTTCATATAAACATAAATATAAAAATATAGCGTAGTTACAGTTTATGTCTACCCCTTTTTAGTAGGCTAGGGAGTTTTATTTGACATGAGCCATCCAACTTTATGTTATAAAACTTGTTGTGTTTAAACTAATATAAAAGCAATTGTATGTTAAACATATGTATTGATGTAACGTTTTTATTATGTTTTTAACGCCATCTATTGACAATAATTTCAATCAATCTTCAATAGAAAACGTGCCACGCGTTCATATTGATAAATCAATCGATTCTGAATAAAACATAGCGAAAGAACTTAAATAATCAACTTTATCGGTTTGTTTAGAAAACTCAATGCGTTTCTTTTCCACTCAATATCACGTTTCGTGCCGTCTCACGTGACAACGCACGTTGTAAGAACTTAAATATTATTTTCCTTATGATTCAAACGTGTTTTGTTAAACGTGTCGAAGAGCGACTTTTAAATAACAATTTTTTTTTACCTTTGATTAATAAAATAACTTGGCACAATGATTTGCCGTCGGCCATATATATTATAATATCAACCAATCCAATATCCTCAAAGCTATAGAATTTTTAGACTATGTTCGCCTATCAAGGCTCATCTCTATAGGTTTGTCGGAGATACCCTTAGCCATAATTTGTTAATAAAACTTTTTTTTCTTACCTGATACAAAGAGTTACCAGTGATGTAGGAAGCGATGTAATGCGAGCCGTATTTCCTGATGAAATCTGCGATAGACACGGTGTCGCCGATAGCGGACTCTTGTATCGCGTCGTAGACGACGTCCTCCACGCCGATGTTCGACGGCAGTTCACTCAGTTTGGCTGTCTCACGGAACCTGGAATTTTAATACAAACATTTTTAATGGATCTGATTTTATATTTTATGTTTATTTTTATTTACACACTAACATTATAAAGAAAAAGATTTTTATTTTTATATTTTTGTATGTATTGAAATAACTCAAAAACTACTGTGCAGATTTCATTCGTTATCAGTGAGTATCATAGGTCATGTTTTTTTATTGTTTTTTTTTTGCAATTTCACGTGGGCGAAGGCGAGTAACTGTTAGATATTGTTAAGCTTAAAAGCAACTGGACTGATTAAAAAACGTAACATTAGAAAGCATAATTATAGTTTCTATGCGGATAAAAGCTGGTTGACATTAAAAGTTACCTTGATACCCTGACGAGCACGTAACAGTGATCACCGGTGATGAACGAGGAGTTGATGCCCAGGTTCCGGGCCATGATGTCCGTCGGCCAGCCGGCGGTAAAAGCTCGCCACGGCCGCTCCAACCTGAAATCAGATTACAAATAATAAGTAAATAGACAGGTTACAAATAAACATTCGACATCACAAGTTATTAGTCAAGCATAGACCTGCAGAACTTATTGTTGTAAGTGAAGCAGATCAGTGAGTCGGCTCTCAGATTAGCTCAATTTTTAGCTAACTAGTATGTTTTACGTGAGTTACTAATCACCGGACAGTTCATGCTCACCTCCCTTAGTTATAGTATATCGCTTTGAGCTGTGAGTCACTTTAATTGTTAAGTCGCAGCTCAACAGTTCAAGGTAATATTTTTTAATAATATAATAGGATCTTTTAAACTGATTCAGAGCTCATTTACACACTAATTAGAACTAAAATCAGTATTTCGCATAAAAGTATCCTTCATGTTTTGTTTGACAATATCTTTTTTTCATTCACCTACGGTACCAATCTGGCGTCAAAAAATACCTTTCAAAACTGAAATCTCTAAAGTACGCCTGCAGTAACTGCTTCAAGTTATCGCAGAACTCCATGTGGAAGTCGCCATCGAACAATGTCTTCGGTTGTCGCGGCGCTGGCGCGAGGGCGAAGCGCTCCACGTCTCTGAACACGCTGACTGTGGGCTCACGGAACACCCAGCCGTCGGTGTCATTGCGTGGCACGACTCGCATGCAGATGCTGAGGTATCCATATCTGTGAATACAATAATTCAACTTTTATGTAAGCCATTGACCGAGGGATTTTATAATCGCTTATCGAAGTCACTATTTAGATTAAGAAGCTAGTATATTCATTACAAAAAAGCTAGATTAGATCGCCTTTTGTGTACAGTTGATTACCCAGATCCAGACCCAGGTCAATATGTGGTGTGATCTATGAAAATACTAGCTTAAGCCCATTGTGGAATTAAAAAAAAACAAAAACAAAGTTAAACCTATGCGTCCTTTCAGACTATGTTCTACATCTAGTCATCGCATCGCATTTATAATATTAAAATATTAAGTATGATTTTAATGCGTTTAAATAGATGGATGGACGTTTGTTAGAGTTTGTAGCCTAATCTGCTGAAAGGATCTCAATGAAATTTGTTATAGATGCCATTGTGCCTATTGCAACTTTTTTTTATTCCACGCAGACGGAGTCGCAGGCGAAAGCCAATATTAGTAGTAGTATGAGTATGATTTAGTCACTGTCGCACTTAGAGGCCGTGAAATAGTTATTGGTAAAAATTATGCCTGAATTATTTACTGTTTTCTGCCTGCTCACCTCATAAATATGTTGATGGCCTTCCCGACGCCCAGCTCGGAGTCGAGTGTGGTGGCGGCGCGACACAGTGCTACCGCCAGCAGCAGCACTGTGGCCTCACGCACCATCACACCGACGCTACACGCCTAAAACAACAATAAAAAATAAGTATCAGAATCCACGAGTTTCTATCTTAATTTTTCTTTAAGAATATATGAACAAAAAAGTCTCCCCGGCGGGGAATCGAACCCCGGTCTCCCGCGTGACAGGCGGGGATACTTACCACTATACTACCGAGGACTACATACAAAGATAGAAATTTATTCTACGCAAATTTTTACGCAGAATACTTTAGAAACATAGTATTTATAAAACTACTACATAACTTATCTGTTAACTGATAACTAATATTTGATTTCTAAAAAAAAAGAAAAATAATTAATAATGAAAACAATAATTATGAATTCAAAAAAAGTTTGTCAGAAGTGGGATTCGAACCCACGCCCTCAGAGAGGACCAGAACACACATCAAACCCGTTTACAACGGGCAAGGTAACCTTGAGTCTGGCGCCTTAGACCGCTCGGCCATCCTGACAGATACGAATACTGTTGAAATTAGCGATAACATACAACGTACATGTGCATTATTCTTTTCTCAACTAGATGGCGCTGCTAGTTTAAATAAGTGTATTTAACTTTTTCATTCCATAATATATTACCATACCATATTTTTATAAATATAGCCAGAGTAATTGTAGTTTATTTGAAAATGCTAATAATTATACTCCTTTTATTTTGAAAAACAATGTAACCGAAATACTTTGATACCGACTGTTATAACATTATTGAAAATTACTTGGTAAATTGAATACCACTTATATAACAATTATGCGGCGCATGTCTTCACGGATGACCGAACTTAATAGAGTGATCTGTCATGGACCAATGATTTATATACGTAAGATAAAATTTATCGACCATTTCGGACAAACCTACTTACCTACTTCTTACATAACAATAACAAATGTCGTCATATATGTTATTTATTATTTAGATTAATATGGTATAAATTTCCTTCTAATCGTTTTGATAAAAGTTATAGGCGATGGATGCTGATAACGCATTTTTTTCTTTAAATGAATATTAAACCAACAGATGGCGCTGTTCAGAGAGTGTATAATAAATAGCAAAAAGTGTTGTCACCATAAATCGAGTAAATAAATTAATTAGATGTATAGATGATTTTTTATTTATTTATGTTAATTATATAGTTTAAAATTTAAGGTTATGAATAAAAAACACGTAATAATGTAATTTTTTGCTGTCGGAGGTCATCAAAAAAAGATGAACAGATTTAAAAACATTTTTTAATCATTCTTACATAGATAATTTTGATCTTGAATATAAAAACAAGTTCTTTGCTTTAAGGTGATTAATTACGTAAAGTTATAACGATCCTTGGCCTGGTTGCTCGTTACAAGTGAATTATACCAATTGTCTTCAACAAATTGCATTTGAGTGTAATTTGCGAGTCGTCATTAGAACATAATATGACGGGGTATCGTTTGGTTATGATTATTACATAGATTAAATTAGAAACCTGTAAAGTTGTGAATGTTTATTTCCTATACATCGGGGTTGCCAGCGTGGAAAGGGCCATCCCTGCCTTAAGAACCGAAAATGGCATGATCAGTTTAGGTGTAAAATATAATTGCAACACAAATATGCTTATTATAGAATTTATTAAGACTGCTGTACGATATTCGACCGTAGATGGGAATTTATTTACCTTTGAACAGATAGGGTCACTCCTTTTTTTAAAAAGTACATTTATGATGAGCGGAAGTCCTGTAAAGGCTTTGAAACAGGTCGGAGCATAGAGCAGAATAGATTTTTTTTTATCACAATTGACATTACGATATAGACCGGTAGGGGGCGCTGCAAAAAGCTAATGTCGATAACGTTAGTAAAACGATCTCACGAATATTTTTTACTAGCTGTTACTAGGGACTTCATCCGCGTGATATTAAAAAAAATAATAAAAAATATAGCCCATATTACTCACGTAGCTTTCTAATGGTGTTAGTATTTTTGAAATCGGATCAATAGTTTATGAGTTACAACAATACATAAAAAATACAAATCTTTCCTCTTTATAATATTAGTATAGATCCCTGCTATTGGTAATTATTTCTGCGTGCACTTGTAGCGAAATAAACGCCAACCGACTGTAAGCAATCAAAAGTTTCGTAAACAGTAATTAATCTGGATTCATTTGGATTGTTTTAAGTGCACTCGAAACTGCTCTCGAGATTTGATATGTTGCAACGACCCATTAGTACGTTACCAGAAATAATTCTTGATAATGATAAACTGCAAATAACGGCCGAAAGCTAAGGGAATTGTACGTCAAAAAATAACATACATAAAAAAACACACAGAATAATTGAGTACCTCCTTCGTTTGGGATGTCGGTCGAAAATAAACATAACGATTATTTGGTGGTTGGACAATACTTGAAACTTTAGTTGTGGTTCTTCTCCGCAAGCGTTGACTAATTAATTAAGATTGTGTTATTTGTAAACGACAAAGCCCTGCAATAAGAATAAAATTTCCTATGTAATAAAAGTTTAAAATATAATCTACTGGCTTTCGCCAGCGACTCCGTCCGCGTGGAATTGAAAAAAATATAAAAGTTAGTAGCCTATGTGTTCTTCCAGGCTATCCTCTACATCTGTACCAAATTTCACTGAAATCCGTTCCGCCGTTTAGGCTACAACCTCTAACAAACATCCATCCATCCATCTAAACTTTCACATTTATAAAATAAGTTAGAAGTTAGATTACAGATTTCTTTGTTTATTTGCCTTCTTGGTGCAATTATACTCGTAAGTGACTTTCATATGTTATCAATGGAGTTGGTGATGAAATTGTTTTAATAAAAAAGGTTAAAATAATTGTAAATGGCTGTGTAGTGTGCCAGTAAGGCATAGCGCTTCATTACTTAAGACGGATGAGCTGTATTTATAGAACAGAGAATGACACGCATCTCCTGCGTATCAAAGTACGATGTGCAAAACAATATTGAATGAAAAAAATGTATTATATATTATCTATATCTATACTAATATTATAAAGAGGAAAGATTTGTGTTTTTGGATTTTTGTATTGATATAACTCAAAAACTACTGGGCTGATTTTTTAAATTCTTTCACTATTAAAATGCTACGTTACAAGTGACATAGGCTATCTTTTTTTACTATTTTTTTAATTTAAGCGGTTGAAGTTATGTGCTACAAAGTGTGACAAATGATTGTTCGGTTTATTTTCATGAATTTCAGTATATAAAAATAAGAACTAAGCAAAGGAAATTATTTGAAATGGCTTGAAATTTGATTACTGTCTTTTTCAACAACATTTTTTTTTAAATTGTAATATAATTGTTTTAATATATTTCGGCAATTTTGATATAAAATGTGTTTTTAACAACTTGAATTATTATATACACAGAAATAAATAATATTTTTTTATTAACTTGTCCGTCTGTCTGTACTAAAGGTTCGCCGGATTTCACGCATTAGCGTTTTACTCTTAATTGGATCCCAAGTAAACATGGTGACTTCAAAGAGGATAAAAATAATTACAATCGTGCCCAAACACAAATCAACACTTTTTGCTTCTTTTTTTATCTAGGGGTTTTAAGAACGTCGTGTTTTTGTCGTATTAAGTTACAAAGACCTGGCGTAATGCGAAACGTATAAAGTTTGCTTTTGTTTGCTTAAAGTAATGTGGTCGTGACCTTTTATGTCTAAATAGGGCAAATTAGTTTTAATTAACGTAGTTTTACACTCTAATTATAAAAGCATAAAAAACGTTAATTCCGGACAGTTGCATTAAAAGTTTCGCCTCTTTAAATGTCAGCTTTATTCAGTTTTAATTTTTTTTACCAATAATTTTATTATAATATCACATATGAACTACTTTTTTCTAACTTTTTAAAAACAAATTGGCAGTCAAAAAAGTATTAAAACCTTATTAACAATATTGCAAGTGAAATAAATAAATCCTTCCTTAACGTATATTACGTACTTAGATACTAAACATATAAGATATTAGATTTAGTGAGCTCTAATTGTGAATTGTAACCCAAAACTGCCACGTGACCAGACTGTCGCCGTGCAATTTGTAACTATTTGTGTGTAGATAATGTCACTATATTGCCAATAATGCCAGAAATGCTGGTGATACTTTCAAATACACGTTTAAAATACATAATAGGAGTATAAAGGTAACAAATACAATTAAAAATTACAATGGATATTACAATGATAACCAATTTAATCGCTTATTAGTATGATTTAATCTTTATCTATACATGTAATAAAATTGGGGAAGATAATGTATTCTCGTTGCTGATAACGTAAATCGAATTTCAAAATTTTTATCTGTCCGTCTGTCTGTCTGTCTGTCCGCAAGCCGCGTTTGTTCCGGGTAATCTACGAAACGGCTGCGTCGATTTAGAGCTGACTTTTAATGAAGGGTAGCTGACATAGACTACTTTTTTCATCTTAATATTGCGTGGACAAAGTCGCAGGCAACAGCTATTATTACATAAAATCTGTTCAAAAGGATAAAAACATAAACTATATTTATAAAATTCGTTGCGGATGACCTAACATTAATTAAATATAGATTAAAAAATCTTTTTAGTCTTTGCGCGTTCGCTTGACTCACGTTTATTTCCTGTTCAAATGCTAAATTGTAGGTGAATGTCTCCCAGCTTAGGACGATAACGAACTATCGATTATTTTATATCAAACGAATTTATCTACTAATTAAACTGAACAATGTTTTACTTACGTCTTTACAAACAGAATAGCCAGTTACAATTTTTTATTAAACATACCGTTTTCTTTATTTTTAAGTAAATTATTTAAAAAACGCTTTTGAAATAATCAATGTTATTTTTAATTAAAAGATCGATAGTGTGTAAATGCCTAAGGTACGAGTATAAGCATTATCGGTCGTCATCTAACAGCTGTCGTGGCGCATAGATGTTGCGAAGTCACAAAAGTGGAACAAACGAGAGTGGAACAGGTTCGATTCTTTGTTTTGTTTGCTTTACACCTCAGAGAATTATCAGGTC